ACACAATTGACAGTGAGATCTGAGCCACACACAGCGGCTCACCCAATGCTGGCAGACTACACACACGAAAAAGGAGCAGCATATAACGAGAGCCATGAGCGGGAGTGTTCAGTCTTTGGGGATGGGTACGCGAAATAACTACCCCAAATGTCAGACACACTATAAACCCCTCCCGGTGAACGCCCTTCCTTCTGAATTATCTTTCATTGTTTAAAGAGTCCCACCTACCGCAGTTTTTCTTGTTTTTCGGCCTCTAAGCGAGCCTGTTCTCGACGGGCCTCCTCGTCTTGCCGTAGCTTCTCGGCCAGATCCTGTTTGCGTCGATCGAGTTCCGCCTGACCCAGCAGGAAGTTCTGCATGCGTTTGTCTTCGAAAGTTTGTTGGGTTGCGGCTGGCCGACCAAAATGAAGGGGCGGAGGATAAGAGAAACAAAATTCTCTGATCAAAATTGAAAACAAAATGTATTGGAAAGAGCAAGAAAGTATCTGAAACATTCCATTGGGTATATTTGAAAATAAAATAAAAACCCTCGCGGTGTCAGGCTCGGGAGTGCCGTGTTTAGGGGGCAGGCATGAGGGCTACGATAACTGCAATGATACACATGGCGAAAAAAATCAGATACTTGGCGATTGGGTTGGGCTGGAACCCAATACTGAGGCCGTCCCAAGTGTATTTTCAGGAAACACTGCTATTTTCTATTTCGGGGTGCCTACTGTGGAGCCGGCATTGACGAGAACGCTGCTACTTACGCTTCCCTGCAAAGGTAATTTGGCAGACATGTGGGGGTATATGCAAAACACCCTACGCAGTTCAGAAGGGGATATTACCCCCCATGCAGCGCATACGAGTCATCAAGGAGTTAATACATTTCATAGGAGAGGCATACCTGGCCGACTACTCCCGGGCGGGGGAGTAGATGGGACTTTTGCACGGTTATGATTAAAGTAAACGGGATATGCACAGCATTCACCTTGCTGCAGAAATCCACACCCTCAGAGTCGAAAAAGAAAGCATACCGGAGATGGGATCATACATAGTGGCTTATTAGACATTTCACCCCATCCGCTGCGTGCCACAGACCTGTATGTTCCTCCACTGGTGTGTTTCTGGAACCAGAAAGACGACTGACGTGGTTTAGACACGTTCTTCGTGGTCAAACTCACGAGCTCAGTGTTACTGCTCTCGATCCGACACTGGAGACGTCCAAAACCTAGCTCGACTCAGTCCGTCAGAACATGGAAGTTGTTCTTGAACTTTCGGTATTCGGCCTCCGGCGTTGGTGAAGAAAATGGATTGAACTGTCCAGATCCGGTGCCACAGATCGTCCCGCGTGGGGCAGTACCATTCGGGACATCATCGAGACCGGTTAGATCAGTCATGATTGCATTCGTAACAAGTGCGAGTACTGGAACATGCTAGGATAAAGGGGAAGCGATCGCGTCTCCTTCTTAACTGAATATTTACCCCATTTTGGGTCTGACTTAAGATCAGCATCTATTTCGAGGATCCAGAGAGGCGCTCATATCCACACTGCTATGATGTCAACCTCATGACGTCATTGAAGATAAAGGCTATAGAAATGGGCGCAGTATACATATTTAACCTCCATGAGACTAACACAGTGAAGACAACGCAGTAAATGCCGATAGAAAACCTTACAAATTAACTACGAGCGTACACCCTGTATGAACATAAGTTCTTTAGTAGTAGACACTTTTATATACATTCATTCTTATGAGTCCCAGTAACATCTGGTGTACTCATGAAAGTTACCTGCACGTACGGGTGACCACATATTACAAGTGTTACGCAAGTTCAGTAAGTTAAAGTTCTTTCTTTTTTCTATGTTAAAACATTGGTAGAAGTTCAACTTCAAAACGCCTGTGCCAGTTAAATTACGACAGTCGAAGTCGATGCTTGACATTGTCCCCTCATCCAACGGGTCAAGTCGCAACTTCGCTAGATCAAGACTTAAGCTGTACCAAGTCGCTGTGAAGTCTTAATTACCGCCGTGCAAGTATAGCAAGCATCAGATGAGATGGAAGCACAACTGGACAAGCTAGGATACTGATTTGAAATTGGGCATCTCCTCATTTACACAGAAACGACCATGTTAAGCGTTCCGCAACAAATTCAGGGAAGGAGATATCAAATAGAGCGGTGTGCAGCAAACCAAAAACGAATAGGAGGAACCCGCCTAGCGGCGGAGTTGGCTTACCCTCGGGAACATTCGGTTCCGTGGATGCTCGCCCCGATGAACCGATACTTTTAGCTGGATCGATCTGCTGACCCTAAAATTCGGGAAGAGTAAAACTTTGGGTTAGGAAATGTCTGTAACAATCGACTTACTGACGGTAACTGATCAGCCAGTCTTCCCCAGTTTACTCAAACAAGTCTCTAAAAGGCGATTTTTGTGAGAAAAAAAACAATACATTTTGGTTTTAGAGTTTCTTTTTCTCAGGTCCGCGAGACTAAAGCAACATTTCCCAGCAGTTTCTAAAATGCCCTCATTATGGTAGCGCGATAGTCTACCCTGACAGTTACTTCTTGTTGACGCAGAGTGTTTTTGCTTTTCAAGTTAGACAGAATCTACCCATCTGAAAACAGCTCGTTTTGCGTATTAACTTTTGCGGAAGAAAAATATAGTTTGAGAACACTTGATCTAGCGGACCTGCTGCACTCAGATAAATTGAACCAATGCATTAATTCGGGCATTGACATTAACTTACACCACCAGATATGTTTTGAGCTCTTTTGACTTACACTGACCTCTGATGCCTAACTTTGAGTACATCCACAATATTTAAAGAAAATGACGCTTCTACGTCCGCACCTGTTTCTCCCAAAGTTTGGCGAGCGACCCCGTAAGTCAAAAACGTCTCTGAGGCTGTTGGCCACGTCCTCGCACCACTTGAAGTTGGAGTCGCACACAGGCTGGAGGCAACAATAAGACGTCAGATGACGAAAAACCCAATGCCACAGCAAGGAACATCAGGAGTCGTCTATAGGATCCAGTGCAGTTGCGGACAAAGCAACTACGTCGGAGAAACTGGAAGACTTCTCAAGACGCGAACTGCCGAACAGGCAGCAGCAGTGCTGCAAAATGGTGCCAATTCTCAAATTGCGGCTCATCCGACGAGACCCAGTCACATGTTCAAATTTGATGAGGCCGAAATTCTCGCAAGAGGTGACAATCGTGTGAGCCGAGGATTGCTTGAGTCATGGTTCACGGGCCTCCAGTCCACAAACAGGTGCAACACCCTGCCCAATCTATATTCGGTACTGAGGCTCAAGTTGGCCAAAGCAAGTCGCCACATGGGGAACGCACA